GAAATTCCGAGCCCAAGTTTGGTGGCCCATGTCTTGCGAATTTCCAGAGGGTTTTAAGGGTCATATTCGGTCAATTTTGGCTTAAGTTGGTCCAAGACAAGTCAAAGGGAGGCATTAGCCTTGTGTGGTGTGAGTGGTTCCTTAATTTAAGGAAAAGGTGTAGCCTTATTCCCTCCACTCTCCTCAAGACCGACCAGCATGTCCCTCCACTCATTTTGACCACCTTGGTCAGCTCAAAGTCAGCAAGACCAAGCCCCAAAACATGCACCAAGGCCACTCCAAGACCATCCCATCTTTCCATGCGCCTAAGTGGTCTTTTTGTCCCCCACCAACAAGTCTTGGTTCCTTCTCTCAAGACCAACGTTTTTACCTCACTCCTCAGCATTTTGAGAGCTCTTGGACACTTAGAAAACTCAGAGATTTTGAGAGAAGAAGAAGAAAGGACCGAGGGCATCCAAGTTAGCCGTGCCGCGCGCGTGAGGTTCGGAGCAAGGAGAGGAGCGAGCTTCACCAAGTTCCTTTCGTTTTCTCTTGAGACTTAGCACCTTCCAAGTATTATTTGGATTTTTCTAAGTCTTTTGAGCTCAACAAACTCAGCCATTTAGCCCCCAAGTCGAGCCAAAAGTCCTATAGCCGCGAGTAGAGCTGAGCTTAGGGCACCTAGCACCATTTCGAGTTTGGTGAACGGTAAAATCATGTTTTTCATTTTTCTCAGCTTTAACATGATAAAATAGGAATTTATCATGAAGAAAAATGAGGTCATGCACGTACTAAAAATGGAGATACGAATTTTTGAAGTTATAGCCCTTAAATTCGGATTTTTAGGTACAAGCATGAATAAACTAATTTTAATAGCTCATTATCCCTCAAAAATCATGTATATGACCTCGATTAAAGATAGACATGTTTTGAGTTCAATGGTTCGGTCAAGTTGTTAGTGAAATCGAGCTTATTTTCACCTCCGAACCCAAGTTTTGTACATGCGAGTTATAGCTAATGTGTTAGCCCCTAAAGTCATGATTTTTTATGTAAAGTTTTCGGCCCTAAATGTTTTTATAAGTTGAGTATGTTGGTTCGGTGACCTAGGGTCCGTAGGAGCCATATCGGCCCTACCGGACCAAGTCAAAATCCAACCGACGTCTTATAGTGATTCTTGGCATTTTTATGTGTCTCATATCATTATATGTTGGGTTGAGTCCATTTTCACTGGAAAAGTAGCCGGAGGTCCGGCAAGGACTGGCCACGGTCGCTGGCCGCGCACATAGTGCGCAGCGCCAGGCCGTGTCGCAGAGGCCAGGTCGCGCCTCAGTTCAGTGCCCGCGCCCAGNNNNTTCAGTACCGTGCCCAGTTGGCCCGGGACGTGCCCAGCAGCACGCCCGCGTGCCCAGTTAGTCAGGGCCGCCCGACAGCGCCCGGGCAGTGTCAGCCGCACTTAGTCGTGCGAATAGGGTCTGTCCGCACTTAGTCGTGCCAGACCCGGGCCCAGCGTGTCTGTCCGTACCTAGCCATGCCAGACTCGAGTCCAGTCGTGCCCAGAAGCACACCAGCGCCTTGGTTGGCCTCGGTAGTGCTCAGTCGCACCCGAGTGGCACCAGTCGTGCCCGTGCTCGTGCCAGCAGCATCTGGCTGTACCCAGTAGCACCCGGACCGTGCCCAGCAGCACCTAGTGGCACCAGTCGTGCCAATGCCCGTGCCAGCCGCACCAGCTCGCGCCCAGCAGCGTCTAGGACCGCACCGGTCGCACTCTAGTCGTGCCCTGCTCCCCGCCAAGGGCCCAGTAGGCCCGGCGCAGGACCGATGCCAGTCAGTCTGAGTGAGCACCCGACCTCCCGGCCCGCAACGAGCCGGCGGTCCGGCCAGTTAGCAAACCGGCCGGTTCAACCGGCGGTTCGAGTCAGTTTTGGTTTGAGTATTTCGGTCCGAGTCTTATTCCGAAATTTAAGTATTTTTCCGAGTCAAACCAGTTCAGTTGAGCATATCAGTCTAAATTCCGGACTTAGAATTATTTTATGAACCCTTAGAGCGTTCCTAATTAACCGAAAAAGTTTATCTGATAGAGCAGAGCATCTTAGCATATTATTGAGCATATGACGAGCATAGTACTTAGTATATTTTGTTTGTTTATATTTTTATGTAGCTTGAGGAGTCAGCTACCAGCACAGCAGCACTTACGTATTTTCAAAGCAGATCAGGTGGGGACCCAGTCTGGGTATTACATTGAGTATAATATCCGATATCATGTTCAGGTATGTATATGAGTTGCCTAGGGTGGAAGCCGAGCTTGCCCCATCCGAGGTATGTATAACAGCTCAGTCCGCTTAGGGTCGAGGCCTAGTTGCTCCTCCCCTAAGTTCTGGTGGTGGCTCAGTTCGCCTTAAATATACCATCCGAGTGTGCACATAGTACCGACCAGAGTGTCCGGGAGATTTCAGTTTACTTATATATACCTGTACTGTGATATCATTATTATTGTTGCTGTTTGCTTTAGCCTGGGTTTTTATGGATTACAAGAGAACCATTACTCACCCCCACTTTGTTTTTCATATGACAGGGTCGCCGGGCAGGCGTGAGTCCAGCTGTGGTGGTTGTGGTCGTGGATTTGGCACAGCTAGCCGATTCGTGGACATTTATTTATCTACGTCTGTATAACTATTATGCCGCGTTTTATGACTTCCGCTACGTTTACTTTCGGTTCGAACTTGCATGACAGTATTTTCTAAACCTAAAATTTTATCCAGTTCGTCAGTACGAACGGGTCCGATTTCACTTGCAGGTTTTGATAAAAAGATTTAAATCGGTTTTTCTTAAAGTCTAAACAAGCTGTTAGACCCAGTTAAATGAAAACGGATTTTTAAAGCATATAAGTTCTAGTAGCATCCCGAGATAGTTTGCAAATGATTTCGAAAAATTTATACGCGTTATCGGAAAAGAAATTGCGAAAAATTGGCCCTAAAATAGCGGGGTGTTGCAGTCATTTAGTGCCGGCCAAAAGTGGACTGACTATTAATTATATGTTGAGAAGGTCTAAGGTCAACATGGATAATTAATGGGATAAAACCCTCCTCTTGCGACGGTATAAATCGTAGACGTCCACACCACCGTGGCCTGCGGGGATTCGGTGTTTAGAGGCGTCGATGAATTTAATTAAATATCGTTAAAAGGGATCAATATTTAAAGACTAAAATTCGAAGACTTGACTGAGTAAAATTTATCTTTGCATGATCTTAGGAATTTAAAATGTCTTTCAATCCGTTGTCCGTAATTCTCAAAGAAAACAAACTAGTCCTAACTACATTGATTGGAAAAGGAACTTGGATATAGTGTTAAATGTTGAAGGGCACAAATTTATCCTAACTGAGGCTTGTCCGGATGTGTCCGATCAGGCGGCAACAAACCAATAGAACAATGAGTATGCTAAGTGGAAGAAGGTCGATGAGATAACAAGGTGTTACATTTTGGCATCTATGTCAAATGTACTTCAACATCAGCATCAGTCTATGGACACCATAACAGACATACTCCTAAACCTCAAGGATCTGTTCAGCCATCAACCGCGTGCTGCCTGACAAGAGGTTATGAGAATTCTCATGACCACATGTATGCGTTAGGGTACTCCAGTAAGGGATCATATCCTTGCAATCATGGCCCAACTAAACGAGCTGGAAGTTCTTGGAGCTTTTATTGATGGAGAAACCTAAGTCGATATAGTGTTCCAATCCTTATCGAAGAGTTTCGATCAATTTTAACTGAACTACTAAGATGATGTTGTCTCTACCGAAGCTGATGGCGGAACTTCACTCAGCAGAGGGCCTGTTTCGTCAAAATGCTCAAGTGCTAGCAACCTAGCTGGCTGGGCCTTCTTCGTCAATAAGGGTAAGAATATAGAGAAGTCTGCAGGAAAGGATAAGACAGTCATGATCGCTCCACGACCATCTCAGGTAGTGGCAAATTTTGTTTTAACTATTCGTCTACTCACATAATCTTAACGAACCATCACTTTACACTATCTATCTCCTACTTTTACATCAAATCAACTTTAAAAATTTTATTTTAAATATTATTTTAATATAAAATTACAATTTCATTAACAACTAAACACACAATTTTTTTTAAAAAATTAATTCTGATAAAAAAAAACTCATTTAGCGGATATATTTGTATAATCATGCTGTAATCCAATTTTCACACCAAAACAACTGAACACATTGGTGACTACGGAGGGGTAGAATTGTAACTTGATAAAAACATTGATCTGACAGAATGAAAATTTATGATTGGATATAAAAAGTTTTTGTTTTGATTGGATTTTTGGTATGTGTTAGTTAAATTTAAAAAAGTTGGTATGGTTAGTTGTTAGTGGATATATTAAAATAATATTTAAAATAAAATGATTAAAATTAAATTGATGTAAAAGTAGGAGAGATAAGATGTGATGTGATGGTTATTTAAAATTATGTGAGTTGATGAATAGTGAATTAAAGTTGATGTTGTGTATAAGAATGATTGATTGATATTATTTAATTATATTGATAATATTGATGATAATGGAGTTGAGTTAAAGTTGAATTAAAAAAAGTGGTTGAATTAAAAATGTTTGGATTTTTTGAGTTGGATTTATATCCAATCATGCTCAAGTAGCATGCTTGGACATAAAATCAATCCAAAAAATTCAATCATTTTTAATTCAATCATTTTTTTTAACTCAATTTTAACTCAATTCCACTATTATTAATTTTATCAATATAATTAAATAATATCAATCAATCATTCTTACACACAACATCAATCTTAATTCACTATTCATCAACTCACATAATTTTAACTAACCATCACATCACATCACATCTCCTCTCTTTTACTTTTACATCAAATTAATTTTAATCATTTTATTTTAAATATTATTTTAATTTACCCACTAAAAACTAACCATACCAACTTTTTCAAATTTAATCAACCCAAACAAAAAAATCCAATCAAAATCAAAAATTTTTATATCAAGCGTCATCTTCATGTGAATAGTCTAAAAACGAATTTCGAACTTCTCAGTCCCAAAACATAAAACCTAAACAAGCAGATTGGCGGAACCTCCTCTTCCTCCACTTTCTCATTAATCTACTGATGTACGGTGGAGATCCTCAGCACATCCAGCGCCCGCCGCTGGGACCACCATTGCCTCCGCCGCCGCAACAACACCCAAATGCTCATCAATTCCACCACCAACAGCAGCCGCATGACTTCCCTCGCGGCCCGCACCTTCCACCCGGCCCACCACCGCCTCAGATAATGCGTCAGCCCTCGGCTTCCTCAACTACACTTAATCCTCCTCCACCTGATTTTCACCACCACCATCAGCAGCACCAGCACCCGTCTGCTCAACCCCCTTTCTCCGGACAGCCGCCTTATGATGGTCTGAGATTCAAATATTTTCCTTTCATTTCGCTTTTTCTACAAAATTCTGTATTCTTCTCAGCAAGAATGCTGATAGGGGTACTACAGATATTTATTTGTGTCTGAGAAGCCAAAATGTAGTTGTTAGAGCATGTTGTTTCTTTTAGCGACTAGCTGGAAACTTCAGATTGGAGATGACTTTTCATTTTCTTAAAGCATTCACAGTACCGGGAACTAACACTTTTCTTTATCCAAAGGTTATTCGTTGGCTCATTATTTGATATATTAGTAAAGTTATCATTTCAATTGATATAAATATTATACCTTTACTGCTGAACTATTATTGATGGGTCTTGGTTAATGGGAAATGCATTTATTGGTCATTTTGATCATCATCCCAGTTAACAAATTACTATGATTTGCTCTGTATCTGCCATGCGTTGTTTTGCCAAAAAGATTGTCACTCAGCAAACTTATCTGTTCACTGTCTTGAAACTTTGAGAAACTGTGGCCTCCACACAACCCATCTATGTACATAAGCAGGATAATGAATTGCATTTGCATCCATTTGGGTCCGATCAGATTTTTTCCTTTGATTAGAACAGACAAAATTTTGATTATCCTTCTGAGCTCGAGGTATCAGTCTAGGAGCCCTGACAGGGATAGACTAGTTCCCAACAAAGAAGATTAAATGTTTCCCAACCTTGAAAATTTTGATTTACTCATATAAGTTTAGTTCCTTTGATGAAATCGCATAACAATGTTGTTAACTGAAAGCAAACATACACTGCTGCGAAAGAAACTCTAAATATGGAGTGTTGTTTTGATGAGTGCTACTTGTGTGAGGGTTATAGTCGAATTAATGTAGCATTGTTTATAGTGCTGTTGGCCTTACTCATCTAAATATGTTGCAGCTCATGCCGATAGTTTTGCTGCAAAAAGGATGAGGAAAATTGGTCAAAGACGAGCAGTTGACTATACAAGTACCGTTGTAAGATATGTGCAGGTAATGGTTGATTTTTGTCTTTTAAGGGTGTAGAATGATAATGAGAATGTTATATTGTGCTAATGTCTTTCTGATGAGTTAATACGTGATATGCTAGTGAATTATTCTTTCCAGTGTTTAGCTTCCATCGAAGGTTTAGCTTCTTGTACTTGACAAATAGAGACCACTCCCTTAGCCTTACCGATCTAATATCTAAGGTTCTATAGTACTTTATTGTCATAGTTATCTCTCCTTGGCTTAAATGTTCATGGATGGAAGCATTAAGGACTCGTCGAGCCGCAAGTACCTCAATCTCAATAGCTTGCTAGATGGGGTTATGATATTAAATTCTCATATGCCAAAAAGATTGTCCCTCATGATACAAATTGAATACTAGTTATGATGCATTGGAGAAAAGCTCTTCATGATATTTGGGTATGAGTTGGCAGATTGGTTCATCGTGTATTCCATGCATATGCATAGGAAGGGAATCTAGTAACTCTTTAAGCTTTTAAGTCATTGGAACTGGTGGTTGAAGGACAGACATGACTTATGTGAACTGAAAATAAGATCTGGCATGCTACCTGTGGTCTACTTGGCTATATGATAATGTTTTTCTTCAATTTTTACTATTACTAAATATATTTCCAATGTTTCATTCGGAGAAATGCTGTCATAGGAATATATGGTCTGCGAGGTGTGTTGTTGGGATTGGTAATAAGTGTGTGCTGTGCTCTTTTATAATTATGTTTTCAATTGGATATGAAAATTGCAGCCACTTTTTTATATTTAAATTAAAGTTCAGTAGCTCTAAGCACCTAGTCCTTTTTCCCTGTTGTTTTGCAGGCACGCATGTTCCAGCGAGACTCAAGGGATAGAACAGTACTGCAACCTAGCCCAGCAGCAGCTATTGATGTGTGTTAATTGCCTGATAATTACCCTCTTTGTTTTTGTGTTCAATATGGGCCATGTCCTTTACCTGTTGTTTTTTCAACCATTGATGTTGCGTTAACTGAAGATGAAAATTATATTTCTCTGTTCAGTTAGATAAGAAACTGTTGATGCTATACTATTCCCTTCTTTATTTATTATCTATGCAGATGTTGCCTGCTGTAGCCTACGGAGACAACCCATCCACTAGTTTTGCAGCAAAATTTGTACATACATCGTTGAACAAAAACCGTTGTTCAATTAATCGAGTTTTGGTGAGTTTATGGAATAAACCATCTTTCTTGCTGCCCTTTGTGTCAATCTTCATGTATGTGTTGATACATAATTCTTTACTAAATTACTATCTCATTAGAGTCAAGCATTTGCTAATTCAACTTGGATGGCTGCTGGTTATGCTATATGTCATTGCTCTCGTTATTGGAAGACAACACTTCCTGGGTTATGTGGTTCCAGCAGTCATGAGAATTTTAAATAGTGTTAATGTGTTAACTTGTTTACTAAATGTGCTTCGAAATCTATGCTTAGAATGGGAAATGCTATGTAACACACTGGGTGGTGAGTTACAGGAATAGACATCGGCACATAGTGGTCAGTATTTGATAGCGTATACATGCTTTGCCAATTTCCTATGAATTTTACTGACTTTTTGGCAACCAATATTGGGTTATTCAAACAGTGGGATAGAAAAAATTAAGAAAAATCAAACATTACTGTGCTTCGTATCTTAAGAGTAAGATAGCATTGTTCCATGTGGTATCATTTTTTACAGGACCAAGTTTGTTTTGTTTTGTTTTTTGTTTTTTCAAGATTTCAGCTAAAATGTTGCAAGTCATTTTGATGAGCTGTATTAGTATTGAAAGATTGTGGACTTGTAAAGAACCCTAAGAATGAGAAGTTTCGGCGGTTTGCTAATATCAAACCTTTTTTAACATGCTAAAACTGTGACGTGCCTTTAAGTGGTTATCATTTCAAGCAATATGCTTCTAAATATATGTTCCAGGAATCTATGCTGTTACTTTTCCGTTTCATTGGTAATCCAAATATTTTATCTAAGAACCTAAATGTGGTTGATACAAAGCTTTTTCCGTTTTGATCTAATGTGTTTGGATCAAAATATATTAATAGTGGACCCCAAGTGGGAGACGCCTTATTACTGGATCTCAAAGTGGGGAATTCACGCTGTGGAATGGCCAGTCCTTCAATTTTGAAATGATACTACAGGTATTTCATTTACCTGTTTCATGTTATTTCAAACTTTAGATGACCGTAATGATTGATAAGATATATCTTCTACGCAGGCCCATGAGCAAGCTGTCAGATCTATGATATGGAGTTATAATGAGAACTGGATGGTCACTGGGGATGATGGTGGCGCTATAAAGTAATTTCGATTTTGTGGCAAATTGTATTGTGGTCTTATTTAATAGTATGGTTGGCAAAATGATTATTACCTTGTTGCAGGTACTGGCAAAATAACATGAATAATGTGAAAGCTAATAAATCTGCACATAAAGAATCAGTCCGTGGCTTAAGGTATAATATCCTGCTCGAAGCTAATTGTACAGCTGTACTTCTCTTTATCGGTATCGCTGGACTGGCTTTCAATTCTTCTCCACTGATTGTTTATTATTAGCTGGGGACAACAATGATTGTAACTACTAACTGTAATGAAATACCAGAGCAACCTGTTATATTGTGTGATAAAACAGTGTAACATTTGTCTCTTTTGATAACATAGTATATTATTAAATGCCTTTTTTGACAACATAGTATTATTATTGTTATATTTTTATTGTCATATTACCTAATCTTTATACCTTTTAATCAGCTTCTGTAGGACAGATTTGAAGTTCTGCTCCTGTTCTGATGACACCACTGTTAAAGTTTGGGACTTCGCTAGGTGTCAGGAGGAGCGATCGTTATCTGGTGATGTCTTGATTTTGATTCATTTTGTTTTCAGTTTCTGACTTTTCTACGAGAGAACAAAGGAAAAACTTAAGTCTCAGATAAGTTGTATTAAGCAAAGTATTATCCCAAAATAATATTGGTTTTAAAAGTTGTTTTATTTATTTAAACATGAAATCATGATTGCATTTATTTCACCCAAAATGCCTACAGATTTTATCTTATCTTTTAATTCCTATGCAAGCACTGACCTATATGTGCTAAGATACTATAAACAACTAAGGTTTTACTGTGGCTGGCATCTGATAATTAAGTTCAAGAAGTTTGTTGGTCTGTCAGTTATGTAATCAGCATACAGTTCTTGGGAAATTATTTTGATGTTCTTTTATTTCTTTCTTTTTTCATTTTCTCTTTTTCATTGTGTTTGAGGTGAAAATATTTTGATACTCTGCCGACTCACAAAAGTTCAGGCCTTTCACAAAACTTATGGGAGAATCTGATCATTTATCCTAGGAAACAGACAAATTGACTCTAATCTATGTAATGTTGCTGATCTGTTACGTTTGATGAGTAATTCTTTTTATCAGTTTAATGTTGATAATGGTGAAAATACCATAAGAATTTTGTTTTTGTGTCCTTTTGACTCAGACAGGCCATGGTTGGGATGTAAAGTGTGTTGACTGGCACCCTACCAAGTCATTATTGGTTTCGGGTACGTGCTTAGGTCTCTTATACTTGGTAGCTCTCTATTTCTGGAAATTTTTATTCTTTTCAATGGGGATCTTCATAGGTGGGAAGGACAATCTTGTCAAACTCTGGGATGCTAAGTCAGGACGAGAGCTCTGTTCGTTGTGAGTAAACACCATTATTCATTTCGTTTATGAAATTATGACTCAAAGTCTCTAGCTGATCCTGTAAGCGTAATTTAATTGCATCATACCACTGCTTTTGCAGTCATGGTCACAAGAATACGGTCCTTTGTGTGAAATGGAATCAAAATGGCAACTGGGTTTTAACAGCTTCAAAGGATCAAATCATCAAGGTAGGGTGGCCTGTTGACGGTTGTCTTGGTACTTCTAGAGTGTGAGTTGAACCTTTAAGATTTCATGTTTGCTTCTTTCTCCATTAGACTTGATGATTTTCTTTGGTTGTAGCTTTATGATATACGGGCCATGAAGGAGCTTGAATCTTTTCGTGGGCATCGCAAGGATGTCACTGGTATGGAAATACTTCTGTCAGAGTGCTAACATTGTACTATGTTTTTGTGGTGCTACACCCATCTGAAAATCAATTTTTAGATCTAATAAATTTGATGAATTGATTACTCAACTTAATCTGTGCACTCTGAGATGAGACATGCTCTGGTTTTACTTATATAAAGAGTTGCATTTGACCCTTTCTTGGCTTTGATATCCAGTATATGGTTTCTACAAAATTGGGAGAATTTTAATTAGTTTTCCTTTTCCTTGATTATATTGAAAAGTTGAAAGGCACATGCTTGGAGTTTTCAAGTAGTTACCTTGAATTTGTGACATTCGAAATGAGATTGGTGCAGCTCCAAATGTGACTTATTAATAAACTGATCAAAGGCAGACATGTTTAGTGTCATGCATAAGTTTAAGATAGTTTGCTCTGTTTACTGGTCTTTGAAATAACTCCGCCCTCTACTGTCTTTCACTATTTGCCTTCTCTTGCTGAGTTGCTGTATTTACTCTTAGTGTCTGTGGACCTAGTATGCTCTTCGTTCTTCTGCCTGTTCTGCAACCTCTCTATGTTTGTTATAGTATGATACTTATGTTCCATTTATCTTAACGGTCACAGCATTAGCTTGGCATCCATTTCATGAAGAATACTTTGTTAGTGGAAGCTTTGACGGATCAATTTTCCATTGGCTGGTGGGGTAAGCTGTTTGCAAGTTCCTTGAAATGTCCCTCAGTTCACCTTGTTGCAATATTTAGAAATTAGAAGTACAAGTTTTTACCTGATTTCTTGTAACTTTTTATTTTCACACTATCTGTGAGTGCTCCTTTGCAAGTGACAAACAATGTTGATTGTTGCATAAGTTTTTCAAGTGTGTACCCTTTTACTTGACAACATTAGCTTCTCCACCAGTGTTCCCAGTCTGCAGAATCTCAACATATTTGAATATAGAAACTGGATCTTTGATATCTTTGAATATTATTTGCCTTCAAAAATTTTTCTCTACTCCATGCGTAACCATTTTTCGAAATAGTTCATCGAATGAAGTTGGTATGGAAACAAGGGCATGCTGCAGGTGTTTTCCCCCTTGTTCTTTTTTCCCCATATGGTAACTTAGATTTTATGGAGAAAGGACAAGTAAATCGCAGAAGCAGTCATATTTTTCGTAATCGCTGTTTGAAGTATGACAGCAGTATCTGATAACTGTTCATGACCATCTAACTTTCTGTGGGTAGGCATGAGACTCCCCAGGTTGAGATACAGAATGCGCATGATAACAGCGTTTGGGATCTTGCATGGCATCCTATAGGGTACCTTCTCTGCAGGTATGAAGTTATCTATTACAAAATGTCACTGTTAAATTTTATTATCTACAATTCAAGGTGATAAGATGGACAATGCATAAAATGACAAAGTTTTTGTTATGCAGTGGTGGCAACGATCACGCTACAAAATTTTGGTGCAGAAATCGGCCTGGGGATCCAATTCGTGATAATAAATTTAACTTAGGACAAAATCAAGGTTACTACAAAATTTTCTCTCATGATATTATTATTATTATTATTATTATTATTATTATTATTATTATTATTATTATTATTATTATTTTGGTAGGTTTTGGGGACCAAAATCCTGCTATGGGTGGCCGTGTTTCTGTTCCTTTCCCAGTGGCCGAGGCCCCCACGACTCCCGGGCCATTTGGGCCCGGGTTGGCCCGTAACGAAGGAACAATCCCAGGCATTGGAGTTGCTATGCCACTTAATATTGCATCTCTTGATTCAGCTGGTCAAGACCAGAAGCCACCTATATCCATGCCTTTAGGACCTCCTCCACTGCCACCGGGCCCACACCCATCCCTTCTCGGAAAACAACAAAATGCTCAACAGCACCAGAATTTACCCCCCCAGCAGCAGACGTCTTCACTGCCATTGCAGCCACCAAACTTACCTCAGATGCAGCAGCATTTACCGATGTTACCACATCCCCATTTACCCCGCCCTCCGAATGCCCCGACCTCAATGCCCGGCCCAGTGGTAAGAAAATAGCGCACACATTTTAAGATAATATTTAAAATAAAATAATGAAAGTCGATTTCATGTAAAAGTAGTAGAAAAGTGATAGGTAGTTAAAATTATGTGAGTGGATGAATAGTGAATTAAAGTTGATTTGATTTGTAAAGATGATTGATTGGTATTTTATTTAATTATATTGATAATATTGAGGATAGTGGGGGTTGAGTTAGATTTGAGTTTCGATTGAATTTTTTTGGAAAAAAATTATAAACAAGCATGCTCTTATTTTAATGTTGCCTTGTGACAGTAATTTTTGAAACTTTCCCATCTCAGGGTGGCATGAATCAAATGGTACCTCCATTGCAAGGCCACTTTATGGGGATGAATCAAATGCCTTCTGTATCTGGAAATATGCATCCAGCTGGCAATCAAATGTATCAACCGGGCGGGGGCTTTAACAGACCACAGGGAGGGCAGATGCCAATGATACCGGGAATGAATCCTTACCAGGTGCGCGAGTTTATTCCAATTAGCAAAATATCAAAATTTTCTGGGTATTATTTTGATTTGTCAATTTTGTTGGACCAACTTTTCTGCGATTACTGTGTCCTTTTCCTTTTGTTGTCTCAAGTGATTGATTAGTGGTGGTATGATGTATTGTTTATAATTCAAGTTGATTTGAACTCTTCTATGTTGCTATGAATTGTTAGGATTTTGATATTTCACCTCATGCTAATATCCCAGGAGATAGAAGAATCCCATCTTATATATATCCTTTGTATATTTATTAGTGATTGGGGACTTTTATCAGTATTTTTCATTTTCCCTAGGCCGAAACACAGATTAGAGGGTTGTGTTTAACTGAGCTTATAAGCTCTTTAAACATCTTATAAGTGGTTTAAATTTGTTCGGTGCAATCTTTTGAAAGACAAAAGAGCTTATAAGATGCAAAAATGAGCCCAGTTTAAGAGCTGAATAATCTTTTAAAAAGAGTACATCCATTGTCAAACCGAACTTATTATATCTTTTAATCTCCTTTGTTGGCATACGAATGTCTTCCAAGCTGAAAAT